ATGTTTGAGCAAATACGGGCGAAGAAAGCACTCACGTAGCCACTCACGTACGAACACGTGAAATTTAACGTAACTGTGCAACCAGAGCAGCTGGAGTGCTGAAACTTTCTGAGTGCTACCCAGGGCCATGTTTGAGTAAATACGGGCGAAGAAAGCACTCACGTAGCCACTCACGTACGAACACGTGAAATTTAACGTAACTCTGCAATCAGTGCAGCTGGAATGCCGAGACTTTCTGAGCGCTACCCAGGACCGTGTTTGACCAACCTGGGTGAAGAAAGCACTCACAATCCCACCCACGTACGAACACATGAAATTTGACGTAACTCTGCAACCAGAGTAGCTGGAGTGCTGAAACTTTCTGAGCGCTACCTAGGATCATGTTTGAGCAACTGCGGGCGAAGGAAGCATTCACGTGGCCATTCACGTACGAACACGTAAAATTTGACATAACTGTGCAAACGAAGCGTCTAGAGCACTGGATCTTCTGGCATGGATTGGGAGTCATTGTAAAAATTTCTAACAGTTGTGGTGGCCAGCCCCAATTCTTTTAGCTAGAAGCATCTGCCAAGAAAAACGTGCCGCTGGCGAAAAAAACCTGCGGGGGAAATTGCGCAAAAAACGCATCCTCGTACCGGCAGCCGGTACGCTTTCTACTAGGTTGTAATTGCCCCAAATTTTCCCCGCACCCCCTACCTCCTTCCGCACCGTCTGCTTGCTCCTTCACCTTGCTATCTTCTCTCACCTCGCTTCCTCTGCTTCATTTTTTGCTTGTTCTCCGCCCTTTCCGTTCTCAAGCAAAAAACCCAGCATTTTTGCTCCCCCTCCTTCCCTCAAACGTTGAAGGAATCAGTGAAAAATAGGATCTACGCCATTTAGTCCTTATATCCACCTCCAGCAGTTCCCCTCCCCTGCTTTGAATGTAACCCGCCACATACCATTCCCATCTCCAACTTCCGCATTCAGCTGGATGGTGCCATTCTTGCCCACTACAGGGAGAGCGTGTTCTCGGCGCTAAATTCGATTTTTTTCGCTTTTTGAATTTTGTTTTTTTTTGGGCGAATTTGTTTATGTATATGTTTTTCAGGGCTTTGAATAAATGGCAGTTTCGGTGGATAAGTTTCGTAATGAGAAATGGCGTGATTTACGGCGATTCACAGACTACAGCTCGGCGTTTGCGCATCCGGCATTCGAGCCCGGCATACAGGTCATCAGCATCCATTCCTCTTTAAGATTAAAGGAAAATTATAAGAAAGAATGATGAAAAACAAAAGGATTATTAAAGTAGGTAAAAAATGTTTCGTTCCATTAAGTCGTATACATTTCTTACCGCTACCACAATTGGACCTGATCGTCAATACGACGATTGTGGTAAAAAGTTTTTTTAAAAAAGTATGAAGGGAGAGTAAATAAGTTAACATGTATGGAAAAGTAATAAGTTGAAAGGAGAGTGAAAGAAAACGGTAGAAGAAGTAGAAGGTGATGACACGTAATATCTATATTGTAGGAGTATGGAAGAATTTGCTTATAGTCCTCCAGAACTCACTGACTGAGAAATTCTCAGGTACATTGCTCATAGTAGTAGAAAGTTATAATAACAGGAAATGAAATAAACAGAAACAATCAAAAAAGAACGCAAGAAATGAGAATTAGAAAATTTGTGAAATTATTATAAAGATAAGAAATGTTTCGGTCCATTAAGTCGTATACATTTCTTACCGTTACCACAATTGGACCAAATCGTCAGTACGACGATTGTGATAAAAAGTTTTTAAAAAAGTATGGAGGGAAAGTAAGTTATTTGTATGGAAAAGTAATAAGTCGAAAGAAGAGTGAAAGAAAACGGTAGGAAAAATAGGAGGTGATGATGAAAAAAAATCCTTTTTTTTTAAAAAAAAGTTTTTTTATCTTTTCTAGTAAACTTTTTTCGATCATTTCACACCTGAATATCGGCAGGCATGACGCAGTAAGATAGCACTGTTGCCGTACAGTAGGTCGAAGGTTCGACTTCGCCGGCAGGCACACCAATTTCTCTACGATTCGTTCATTCGTTTCGATGGTAAAATTGATACTGGCACGTGCTGGGGGGACCAAATTCGCCATCAGTTTGCTTGTAAGCATTTACCCCATCGGCATCCTTGCCAGGAGCCATCAAAAGCCTTGCCGACGCATGAATGGTTGCTTTTGGCATTTGCTACTACTTGTGTGCTTCCTTCTCACTGAAAGTGAATACTGAAGGGGTGTGTACACGTATGCGTGTGTATGTATGTGTATGTCTGTGTGTATGTATTAAGCAACGTATTTGCATAGGTGCGTCCAAGGGGGCGGTGGGTCTTTTGTCTCTCCCCTCTCCGCCTTTGCCTCCTCCCCCCTCCGCCCTTGCCTCCCCCCTTTCCCTCTTCTCCAGCAACGCAGGTACCAGTGCTGCAAAAACTCGAATCTAAAACCAAAACCAAGATAAACTAAAGCTTAAAGTAATAGAAAGGGTAGAAGGGCCATGGAAGCCCAACCAAGAAGTGATCATTCCAAGTAGGAAAGTCAGCGTTGTGGTAGACGAGGACTGGTAATAAAAACCTCAGTACCATGCGTGCCAACATAAAACATGTAGGTCAAAAACTTATAAAGTTGTAAAAATCTAGATGTGTTAAACTAAAGTAAAGGAAAATGAACGGTGCACGTGAGATCGCCGGGCTGGATGAAATTGGAAAAGTTTTTTTTCGGCCTTTGATAGGCCGAACCAAAAGTTCGGAAACAACGACAATCTAAGCAGCAGGAAACATGAAGCGGCCGAAATCCGGAAAAAATTTTGGGGAGAGGGGGCGGGGGGGAGAGGAAGAGGAGGAGAAAACTCTAACCTTAAGTAACTCTAATCCTTAAGTAACTCTAAGCCTTAAGTAACTCTGACCTTAAGTAACTCTAACCTTAAGTAACTCAGAGTTGCAGTGTTACAACTCCATCCCCAGTTTTTGCATAGTTCCAAGGTGGGAGGGGACTTTTGCCCCTATCCCCCGTCGTTCCCACCCTCCATCACCCTTTCCCCTCCCCGCCCAGGGGTCCGTCCTGGAACCGTTTATGCGTATTTGTATTCTGTCATACTATTAAGTTTTTGCTTAAAACGTAACAAATGAATTAATTGAGATCAATCTGTCCAGTTGTGGTGCTAGAAAGAAGTGTATACGACTTCATGGACCGAAACATTTTTTCTTTTTTCATCTCTACTTTTTCCACATTTTTCTCGAAATATGGGCTTATTTACCCTTAAAAACATTTTCTAAAAAAATTTTCTTAGCAATAGCGTATTTTTTTCGTAACTTTTTTTTATTTTCACTTCTACATTTTTCTCACGTTTTTCTCGAAATATGTTCCTGCTTACTTATTTACATTAAAAAACATTTTTTAAAAAAAATTTTCCAAGCAATGGCATATTTTTTTTTTTTTCATAAATTCTCAGTTATCTTTCCATCTTTCTCTAATTGTATTGCACCGATAAAGGGGAGTAATGTTTCAGAATCTCAGGACTGTTCAGAATTGCCGTGTTTTGGTTGTTGGTGCAGGTGGCTTGGGTTGCGAGCTGTTGAAAGATTTGGTACGCTGTTTTATATTTACTTTTATGAGGCAAGTTTTTCATTTTATGCAAATCATCTTAGACGTTTTTGTTTCTTTTGTTTTTTCAGGCTTTGTCCGGTTTTCAAAAATTGGAAGTAATTGATATGGATACTATTGAATTATCAAATCTTAACAGGCAATTCCTTTTCCGGTAAGTTTTTTTATTTTCTTTTTTTTTTTACAAACTGCGAGTTGAAATTTTAAAAAAAAAAAGAAACTTTAGGGTAAATTATGGACTTTATACACTCACATTTATGCGCCCAAACACAGATGTTTGCCGAATTCCTCTTAGATCGTTTCTTCCTTTTTTCAAGTCTTCCTCTTCCCTTCTTTTTTTCTTATCTTTCAATTTCCCCTTTTTTTAATATTTTTCTTCGTGTCCTTATTATTTTTCACTTAATTCCGTCCAGCTTATTCTTCTCTTCAGGTGTAACAAGAAGGCTGAAATGATGAACCAAGACCTTACATATAGCAAACTGTGACTTTATCTCGTAGCGTAGATAGAGCAGCACATGCGATTAGGAGTGGGAATCATCAGTACAATTTCTCACCCGCGATTTGTAAGATGGGTATGCGTATGTGAATAAATTCAACAGCGCTTGTGCATCACATCGATACATATACCGTGCCCGGTGCATTGCCACTGTCAGTTTCTTCACATGTATTAGTTTCGACAGCCTTTGTGCATTCACACTGATGCTGCTGTAGTGTACTTTGACGGATTCAGGAGGCGGTTTCGCGCGTCCCCTCCCCTCCCCTCCCCCCTTCCTCCTAGGGGCTCAGTTTGCGGTGTTAAAAATGAAGAAAATTGTTGTTGGCATTACTGGTCGCTCTCTCCCCCATCCCCTTCCCACCAGGGGCCTTACGTTCTTGTTCCTTTCGTCCCTTCCCACCCCCTCCTCGAGATTGTTGGCAGAAAGAATGATGATAAGGGGGAGGGGTTGGGGGAAAGAGTGGGGCTTCCTATGAACAAGGAGGGAGAAAAAATAGCCCAAATTCCCTCCCTCTCCCCTCCCCCCCCCCTCACCGCCAGGAGACCGCCTATGCTTGTGTGAGAACTTCGCAGGGAGTTGCTTTCGAATTGGTGCTGCTTGACGTAAAAAACTATCTTTACACGTTCAAATTGATGTCCCTGTGGCGCAGAAAACATCTAGCTGCTGCATTAACTAACATAATAACCTCAAAAATACGAAACAATGGAAGGAAGGGGTCAGTCGCAATTTTCCCCGGATCATATAAACAGTGAGAAGTTAGAATTTTGTACTTTTTTACGTTTTCGTTGC